ATATATGTTGGAATTCTCCAACATTTTCCTCTATCTAATCCAATTTTCTAGAAAATCTGTAATAAATAAGAATCTAAGATCCTATTTAACAATCATTAATTTTTTTTTGCTCAAACTCATTTTCAATAATACATTCTCATACTAAAATATTTTGCATGTAAACTCAAAGTTATTTTCTACTTCTTAACCACACATTCTCAAAAAAATCACTATTCCAAAACTCATTTAAAAAAAAAAAAAAACTTATTTTAATGGTTGTCAACGAGGGCTAAATAACCAACCTGAAAATCCTGTTTCCATTCCTAAGAATTAAGAAACCTCAAAATTCTTACATCCATTTTCTGTAATAAATAGGCAAGATAACAATGGAAGTAAATCCAGAACTTGACATTATACTATTCAAAGAATGATAATTACTTCATAACAGCACGCTCTAAATGGGACGATGGTGATGATGATTCTGAAAATGTCACCACAATTCTCCTCATAAGTGTTTTATATTCCAGCATAAGTTCTACGATGAAGATTTTCCTCCACTAGAGTTTGAAATAAACACTCAAGAGCAAGCTAGACACACTCGGAAAGTAAAAAACCCCTCAGTAAAAAATGCTGCAACAATTTTTGGTATTTTGAAGGTTTTTACGTTCATCTTTTGTTTTCATATTTATTTGGAGAATTTTTAGTCCATTGTCATGTATGTTTAATTTATGTTATTTGCACAAATACAGTGTTATTATGAACGATGTTGATTGAGCTCATGTTTGATTATTTTAAGAAGAGACTGAAAGACAATAATATGATTATGATATGATCCGTATTTATATAGATGATTTAATGTTGTGGACATGGGAAATTCTATGTGTGTTTACTGCTATGGTTCTAAAAGCAGTGCCTCCCAATGAAATGAATTCTCATAACTCTTGATAAATAGGCTAAATGATTGAAGTTGTGTACTAAATGACTAAAGTTGCTTCCCTCCAATACTTTGCTTATAAATAGCATGGCATGACTTGCTTTCATTTTTACTTAAACACTTATCTAGCTTTGTGACACTGTCGAGTTCAAACGTATACAATTTTCTTCCGCTCAATTC